TTAGGTAAAGATATAAAATCTGATTCTTAAAATATAAATGTCTTTAAAAAAAATGTGAAAACTTAATTTTTATTGACATTTTCAAAAAAATTTTTTCATTGCTACTTTATATTCAAATGTTACTAAACAATTAAGGTTCAATTTAATAGCATTTGGCACCATTCTCAGAGAAACAAATATTCTAACAATACAGATTTAAAGAAAAGGATACAATTTAAAAGAAAAATTTAAGCAAATTCTGATATAATTCGAAATTAAATAGAAAGCGCTCTTTTTCTTCTATTGTTTTTCGGAAGAAGGCGAAAAATCCGAGGTTTTTCCATAAAATATTAATGTTAAAAAAGAATAAGAGGCATAAAATTTGTATTTTCTTCAAATTATTAGAATATTTCGCGATAAAAGAATAAAATTCATAGAAGGTCAGTATATCCACTGTAATAAATAAATTTTCAGTTCTATTTAAATTTACCTTAAATTTCAAGGACAAATTCGGCATACAATTACAATATTCTTTTACAAGTTCTTTCTTTCAAAATAATCGAAGAAAAACGCCATTGTTCTTTCGTTATATTCAAAATAATACTGAGGTTTCTTAATTTTATATAATTTCTAAAAAATTCTAATTGAATTAAGTAATTCAACTGAAGCTCTTATAACAAAAGAAAAGGCCTAAAAATATTTTATTACACATAAAATTGCTGCCACGCAATTTTTTCAAGAAATTAAATTTCTTAATAAATAAATGCTAAAAATAGAGACTATTACGGTACAGTTATAGATCTCTACCGCTATAGACATTTGGAATACAAGAATATTTTTTCGCATTCTTAAATATTTGATTATGCAAGATGGTATCGTTCCATATTTATTTATGTACAATGAAACTTGAAACTAGAAAAGTTAAAAGATGTGAGACAACCTGATATGAGTGATAAACAATAATCAGTTGAGTGAGCGATTCAAATCTCCTATTTTCAGCTTTCCTCAAAAAAATTATAATTTTTTTGCCCAATATACGTTAGGGCGGTATAATTCGATAGTCCGATGAGTCTGACATCAACCGTATACGTTATACCGTTAAGTAAGTTTATTAATTGAGAAAAAACCAGAATCAAAATGACCCCTGCAAAACTACTCCTAGACGATAGAGTTTATCGCCCCTTCCCCCTTCCAACACGAAAAAATTTTCCTATAAAAAACTCCAATTAATCATCATCCCAGAGCTTCAACATTAGTTGTGTATTACCCTGGAATATTTAGATATATCCAAGATATATTTCGGTTTTTATACCCGTACGAACGTATGTTCGAAGGGTATACTAAATTTGCCTTACCGTTTGTAACGCTAAGAAATAACGGTGCTAGATATAGACTCAAGTGTATGTTTTTGATCAGCGTCAAATTCTGAGTTGATTTAGCTTTGTCTGTCCGTCCGTCCGAACGATAACTCAAAAACTAATTGAGCTAAGTTCACCAAATTTTCACAAATGATTTACTGTAGTAAGTGCCATACAACTTCAAAATTTATTTGGTTATATCTCAGAAACTATAAAAGCTGTGATATTGAGATTTCACACAAGTGAATATATTAGTAGGGCCGATGTGCTTGATAAAATTCACTAAAATTTCTTGGCTCTTTCTGGTAGCTGCCATACAACTTCAATAGTAGTTTGGCACAACCAGTATTTTGAAAAACACATAGTACTGAAATTTTGCATAAATTAATATGGTAATACGGCAACTTAAAGTCATAGTCTGCCCCATAGTTAGTTATGGCACATTAGTTATTCGCACATAGGATAACAAATTCGTCGGGTATCACAGAGTTGACAAGTTCAACTCTATTTTTCTCGTTTAAATTAAATTTGACCAGTCATTAAAGTTTTGTAACTAACAAGTGATTAGAACACTTTTGTAATTAAAAGTATTATGAAATTATTCGCAATTAGACGGTAATATAAATTAAAAGTTCAAGCAAAACTGGACTAAATTCAAAAATTTTACAAAATTACTGCTACATTAACTTGTGAGATATAAGATATTTGGCCATTATTTTTATGTCAATATTTAAAAGTTTAAAAACTTTAAATTAAATGCCACAAATATCATAATTAAAATAAATTTTTAATTCCAAAAAGACCATTACAATAAGACCTCTGCAACAAAACCTTTGTGTTACCAGTATTTATTCAAAAATTTTATAATCTACGCATACACACATACACATAATATGGTTTCAGTTAAAATAAAACTTAAATTAAATTTAAGAAGAAAAAAAAGACTCCTAGTTACTTAATCTAAACTTAGATAATAAGACATATGAAAATAATAAATGGGGGAATAAAATATGTAAGAAAAAAAAAGTTTCTTTCTTAGACTCTTAAATTCTATGGCATTGCCATATTAAATTTTTTTGAATATTATTAACAGACAATAGTAAAAGTAGTATTATTATGAGAATATATTTATAAAAATTCTAAAGGATTTCATTTTAAATTCTTCTATACACATATACGATAAGGATATTCATAAAATAATTTAAAGTTTTTCATCTTATAAAAATTTTCGTCTTCTAGAAAACTTCTATGAATAATAAAATTTAAAAAATAAAATTTACACTGCAACTAGATTATGTTCACACACAATAGACGAAGAAAATTCTTAAACACTTCACATAAATACTATACGAATATTATGTAAGTATATATAGTGAAAACTTTCTTTGAAAAAAAAAAATTAATTTTCATAAATAAATTTTATGATATTTCTTCGTACATATAGAAACGCACTCCTTGTATTTATAAACTGAATCCCGTATATTTTGCTAGAAGCAATGCTATGCTACTACTCTAGTTGAGCATTTTAGTGAACATGAGTGAAAATTATTTAGAATTTTAGATAGAATATTAGGTATTTGTTTATATGTTATTGTATAAATATTAATGTACATGTAAATATATGAGTAAAACTGGAAATCGAGATAGTATTGTTAAATTTAAAGGTAAAAATCTCAATAACATAAAATAAATAAATAGCTAAATCTCAATGAATCTCAACAATTGTAATGAAAAATCTAAAAATTTCAATTTGATTTTATCTCAAATTTTTATCTTACCTTAAAATGATTTTCATTTTCTGTAATAAAAATTTTTCGAAACCCTTTAGGCTCTGTTATACTATACAGCTGAAAAATATGCGAACTGAGCTATCAACGTCTTACGCATCCGTCAAGGAAGTTTTCAGAGATTCCGAAAAAGGGATTCAGAAAAAAAATCAATCAATATTCACATTTACGATATTAGTAAGTTTAAGAAGATATTTATGAAAAGACCACTACTCATGAGCGGGAATAATGCCGAAAGGTCCACGGAATTCTTCAAGACGAACAGATTTTTTGGTATACATAGAATATTACCAAATTATAAACCACAAATCAAAATTATGACTGCATTATAAAAAAAAAAATTAATTTTGCTAAAGATAAGAAAAACTTTATCTGCCAATAGAAACAATTTTTTTTTTTTGTGAATTTTATTGAAAATTGAAAATTCTCTGCACGAAAACGATTTTCAATTTTTTTTTCTTTTTTATCTTTTCTGTATGCTATCTTGTTTAATTTTTCTCTAAAGTTATTCTTGCTTTACTTTTATGTTTTTACTGACATTTTACACCTTTACACGAACAAAAAATCTACAATATATGAAAACCTCAAATCCCGGAACGAACACATGAAAATCAAAAAATGTCTTTCTTTTATTTCTCTTAGTTTTCTCTAGAGTAAACTTTTTTCCAAATGCAAATTTTTTAAAGTTTGAAACTCATACCAAAACTCATATTTATTGAACGTTTTTTAAGACTCATGAAATTTTGCATATTATTGTTTGATTTGAACAAATATTTAAAATTAATATTATGGAAGAAATTGAAAAATTGAATAAATCGAAATTTTTTCAATTCCATAACCGGAGAGGCCTTAGTATTCACCTACTATTACAAACATAACCTACGTTTCATTGGCACCATTCCTTATTTCTTCACTTGCTTCGGGAACATATAAATCCTTATGAATGTCACTATTGCGTTTGTACCAGGGAGCACCCACCATATTACAAAGCACCTTATTCTGGAGAGCTTGCGTATTTGTTTGTTGTAAGCGTTTGCTTGGCACAACCCCCATATCTTTATATACCATATGTGATATGTCCATATATAGACTTTATTATATCAACACCTTGTTGTATGTACCCAATTAATAACCGCAACTTAGGAACCGATTGTTTTCTCTATATTTCTTTTCTGATTATATTTTAAATATAAAGTCATACCCAGGTATTTTACTGCGTTTTCAAGTGATGCTCTACCAACATCCAAATTTAATTGTGATGGCTCTACAAAATTCTTGTTTATGAAATTCATATGCACAGATTTACCTTCATTTAGCTTTATTTACCATTCCATATAATATCAAAGACGAAATTTAACTTATACTTAACAAATTCTTTTACATAGAACTATTCAGAACAACACAAAGATGCTTATTATACAGTCAGAATAAATTAAAATTCTAGTATTAACTATAACTCATCTTTTTTAGCAGTGTTTCTGATAATCTATAAATAAACTAAAATACACAAAATTTTCAGATTAAAATCATTGCCATTTTTCCTAGTATAATTTTCTCTATTAAGTAGAAATCTGTTTGCATTGAATTTATCGATAATTTTTTTCACTTCACGTTAATAAAAAATTTATATTTTTCATAATAATCAACACAAAAACCTATCCAATAATATTTTCTATGAAATAATCACAAAAAAAAAATTTATTATCAATTTTCATATTAAAGCTCTTTTATAAAACTGAAATCACCTTTTTCACCCCTTAAATCTGAAAAAAAAAAAATATTGATAAAGCCGAAAATTGTAAATATTTTTAAAAATTTAAAAGCAAATGAAATAAATAGGAAAATTTCAATTCTATTCTCAGTTTTAATTTAAAATTCAAAGTAAAATGAAGTTAACAATAACAGTCATCGTAATTATTTCAATATTATCCGCTAACAGCGGCTCAGCATTTCGTCTTTTTTCATCATCAAAAACAGCCTGTAATAAAGATGGTACATGCTCTAATGTTAAAAGTGATGCAGAACTTTTTATAGAAGGTGAAAAATCATCAAGTAAAAATCGTAATGAAATTCAAACAGAACCAGCAAAACGTATAACATTTAAAGATTCAAAATTAAAAACAGTACCAAAAAATACATTCAGTGTATTTCCGAATGCTGAATCAGTTGATATGAGAAATTCTGTATTAACATCATTAACAGCATTAAGTTTTAATAATGCTAATAATTTAAAAGAAATTATTTTATCTGATAATAATATACAAAAGATTGATGCAAATGTTTTTCAAAAAGCACCTAATCTTGAATATTTATATATGAATGATAGTAAAATTCAGACATTAGATAAAAATGCCTTCAAAGGTATGACACATTTAAAATTATTATCATTAGAAGGAAATTCAATAGCACAATTACCAATTGGTATATTCGATGATTTAATAAATTTAGAACATATTAATTTGGGTAAAAATAAATTGGAAAAATTACAAAATGGTATATTTGATAAATGTATAAAATTAAAACATATTGATGTTAGAAATAATAAATTAACTGATATTGATGAAAATGTATTCAAAAATATGAAATTAGATTTTCTTGATGTTTCATACAATAAACTTGATGCATTCGTTATAAATGTTAATGAAATTGGAAAATTAGATGCTAGAAATTCAGCAATTAAAAAATTCCATGTTTATGGTGATGTTAAACAAATTTTAGTTGAAGGTAATTTCATTGATGATTCTCATGTTGGTAAAAAACACTAGATCTATATCACAATAAGCTTTGGGTACACTAAGTGAGGAGAATTTAAATTAAATTATTTAAATAAAAATAAAAATTAAAATTGCCAAATAAAATAATTATAAAATATAAGAATTGTAAATTATTATGTTAAAAATTAAGAAAGTCTTATATACCACTGAAATGCTAATAAGGACGGTATTCTCTAGTTTGGGTACAAGATAATATATCAATATAAATCAACTTGAAATTTACACTTTTTGAATTGTTGAACAGAAGTGATTTAAAAAAATTCATGACAGGCACTAAAATACTTGTATTATGCAATATTCTATTAGTTAAAAACCTACAGTGGGCAAGCAAATATTAGTTATCATTAAAAATTTTTAATTCGGTATGTCAAATGAAAGTGCGAGCTCGCTTGAATCAAAACGTTTTAATTAAAACAAAGGTCAAACAATTATCTTTAAAATTTTTAAATAGCAATAAGCATACAATATTACTATTATTTTTATTGTTGCATAATTTTTAAAAAGTGTATACAATAAATTTTATAACACTAATGAAAAAATGTTATCGATCAAAACTTACAGTTTGTAAAAGAGCACATTTCTTTCATTATCATATAATTTTGCATATATTTAGGAGAAATCTAAAAAATTGTCGAAAAATTAAAATTTTGCAAATTTTTAGAGAAAATTTTTAGAAAATGAGAGAGAAAAATTATAAACAAATTTTTGATATTAAAACAATTTCCTCCTTAAGCCAAATTATATAATATGTAATTGGCTTAAGGACAAATTGGTAAGAGCAATTCCAGGTCTTTAGAGTATAAAGCATTGAATTTTGTAAATTGTCTAAACCATTGATCAGACGGACTAATAGAATAAAAGTGTCTATTAGAAATTTTTCTAAAATATTTTTAAAAATATACTAAAATTTAACAACCACTGAAGGGGGTGTAATAGCTAACGAGTAAATCGTAAAAAAACAAAGGCATTCATTATACAATGGGACATTAATTCCTACTTTCTTAAAGCAACAAAATTTACGTCATTCAAAAGGTATATAAGTATGTATGTAGATAACATGAATTTACATTATTCGAAATTATAAAATGAAATTTTCATTTAAAAAAAGAAATATTAAAAATAAAATATAAAATGTCTATGAAAACCGAATTACTTTTTAACTACAGAAAATCATATTTTTTGTCAAGCAAGAAGACATTAGTCGTCGCACAGTTAAACACGGAGTATGAACATGAAATACAATGAAGTTTTCCATTTTCAACATCTTCAAAAGTTTAGACATCTTCAATATTATAATATTTACGCTCAATTTCTCAAAGAGAGTAAAAAAGATAATTTGAAAGAGAAACAAATAAAAAAAATAAAAGTAAAATAAATTAAATAAATAAAATTAAATATTATTTTGCATCAGAATTTATGATTACAAATTATATTTCTCTTAAAAGTAAATTACGTTTGCAAAATGAGAGAAAAAAAACACAATTTTTCTTAATAACATTCTCATTTTTACGATTATTCCTAACGGAGGAAATACGAACGAGAAAAAAAAACTTTATTTTAATTTATTATAAAAAAAAATTAATTCGTTTGACCTTCAACCATTCGTTAAATTAGAAAAAAAAAACTACAAGGAAATTAGAATTCCTTGACGTTTTTAATATTAAAATGCCTTGGACGGCAAAAAAAAAATTGACAATTATATTTTGTTTTTATTAAAATAATGAAATTCATAACATTATTTATGAGCTGTTCACATTGTTTTGACATTGTTGGCGGCTGTTGTACAAAGTGTCAAAATAACAACTGATTACTTACAATTTGATCAACAGAATGAAGAACAAAATCAAAAATATTTTCATATACGAAACTTCCTTCCTTTTCAAAGAACAAATTTTGAACCTGGAAGCTCAATGAAAAAGAACTTTAAAGCAGTATTCACAGACATTGAGAAATGGTTTTCTTTTACTACTATATTTTCGTTGTTGTTTTTGTTGTTATTCGTTTTAAAATCATCTTCGCTAAAGTACTTCACCACGGCAGAACGTCATCCACAGTAGAAGTCCATCCACAATCGTAAGGTATTAGTTACTTATTGAGGTGACCTGAGATCTAAAATATCTTGTTAGAGACAGCATTGTATACTCCCTGCTATCAAACTGTCAGTTAGGCATGTATATTAAAAAATATTGTCGGATTGAGCAAAAACATTTTTGAATATAAAATTGGTTTGAATATCACATTGTTTTCTAGCCTCATTATCAACTTTACCGACTTGGTTAAACGTTCCGGATACAATAGAGCAAATATTTTAAGTTTTAGTATCGTGAACATCACACGCTCTAACTTACATGACGCGTCCGGCCTCTTCAATTAAACATTTACTCTGCAGCAGGGTGGAATCATAGAGAAGTGAAGAACCACTTTGCTACATATTAAAAAAGAATGAGTAAACGTACACAATCAGCATTATCAGTACACACGCTCACCCTAATGTAGAATGCTTCGATTGACACAATGCTTCGGTATATGAAGGACAATGTACTTTAGTATAATGTTTCTTTAATAATAAAATATTTTCATTTAGGTTTTTCTTAGTTTAATTTAGTTTTATTTGGTTTTTTTCTACTCGTATATTCTTAGTTTTGGTATATTCATATTAAATTTTCAAGGAAAAATAGAAAAAAAAAAAAATCAATATTTTCAAATACAATGCATTCAAATTGTTCAATACAATTGAGAATTCAAAATAGAAAACACCACGACTATGCATTGTGAATTGAAAGTTCCTTTAAGTCGCATGTCAAAGTTTCAAATTTTTACAATAAATGGTAAAATATTTTCAAATATTCTTTTATTAAATTTATTTTTCTTTGTAAAAAAAAAAAAATATATTTTTCTCTTTTCTTTTTAAATCTCGTTACTTCAACAAAAGAGAATAACAACGAATTGCAAAAAAAAAGGAGCACTCATAAATAATAATGGTGCTTTTATTTATTTACCACATTTTCTCTTTTTTTCAACATTTCAATACAATTTAAATACAAAAATAAAAAAAGAGCATATAGCCGGACATCCACCTTATTTTTTTTAACTTTCCTATACATGAAACTTTACATACAGAATTCACAATAGATTTAGGTGAAATCCGGAACTTTCGTTTTACATTTGTTGTGATATTTTTTGTTTGGGATTTTTTTTTTTTGAAAACTATGTAAAATCATTGAAAATAAAATAAAATTAGATAAAATCAAAACATATTTTATCTTTATAAACAATATAATACAAATAAGGTGTTCAGAAATGGTAATTGAATGGAACAGAATTTATATACGAATATGGGAGGGGGTCCGGAAATGAACATTGAAAAGATGGTATAGTATAAGAAATAATTTATTTAATTTTCTAAAATTCACTTTTATATGTAAGGGGATATAAGAGCATTATTGATAAAATTTTATTCCCAGTTCAATTTCAAATTTGAATTTTTATGTATAATAAAATTTATTATAAAATTAACAAGGTTTTTGAAATGCGTATACTGTTGTGGGCTTTTACAAGAAACAAAAATATTGAAGATTTAAGACTGCAATTGTAAAATATTTAAATCAAGATCGCTGATTGTTACTTTGAAATCTTTAAATATTAAGCATTTTTTAAAGAAAATCCTAAATAATTTAATCCACTTTGAATTTTAATTAAATTTCTAACCCGTTTAAACTGCAATATGTGTGGAAAAATATTTCCAAGAACAAAAAAATTACAGAATCTTTGAACAATTCTACATTAATGCGCATAAGAAAGCATTCCTTATTGTTACATAAAGAATTTCTAAATCAAAATCCCTCAATTTTGGCAATTGTGTAGGTTGAATAATATTTTTAATAAATCATTTTCCTCATAATTTTAATAGATTTTTTACAGCAGATTGGAATAATATCGCAACCATAGCAAATAAATACGTTCACACACACACACTCTATACAATCTTTTGATCCTCATTATACTTTTATATGAAATTGCACTTTTACATTTCTAATATTTTGTTGTAATTTATTCCAGAAAATTTAAATTTAATAGCATTTTACAAGATTTTACTCCTACACTATAAAAAATTACCGTTACGTGTAAATTGTCACGAGTTATATTTTTTTTTCTAACCATTTTACACACAAAAAACAAAATTACATTTATATTCCGTTAAGAGTTTCACAAATAAGCTGTAAAAATAAAAAACAAAAGACATGGTTCATTCCACATCCTATGAAATCGATTTTTTCCACCAATAATAATTTTTCATAATTTTAAAAAATCTAAAATTCACCTCGTTCTTTTCAAATTCAAAACAAATATGGTAGAGAAAAGAAATAGGGGCAAACTTTGTCAAAAATCAAAAAAGCATTTTGGCTCTTTTTTTAGTTTTTATTTTCTTGTAAATTTTTCACAATGTTTTACTCGATTTCCTGACATTTAAATATAATAAAATATTGATGAGGCTAACAAAGGTACAAAATAAATAATAATGGCATACATAAGCTTTTATCAAGGTGAAACGGAAGCATAACTCATATATTACCATGATTTTTTTTTGTTTTTATTTTTATTTATTTTTTTTTTTACGGTTAAGAGTTTTAAAATCTTAAAAAATTGTGTGTTATAGCCATATACATTTATGGCAGTAAAAAATGAATATGAATATGTGAATTTTAAAATTTATATAAAAAATTTTTCAATCAATCGTAAAATCTATATACCTACGCACGTATTATTTGTTAAGTACAGCATGTTTCATTTTCATATAATACGACTAAGGATGTGATATGGACATATTGTATTGTGATATTATTTGTTATCCAACAAAAACTTCTATATAAAATTTCGGCGAGTCGACAACTAACTGTTATTTAAGTAAATTGAGCCCCCTTTAAAATTTGATGTTAGTGTAGCTCAAAAGAGGAAGGTTGTCCTCTAAGAATCACATTGAATTAACAAAATAAACAAGTTGTGTACTCCTATTGCATGCTTTTAGAATCGGCAGTCTTGATAATTGTGAACGTAATCTCGAATGACTTGTAAATTACAATTGCTAAGAAGTTGAAGAATTTATATGAAAAATTTAGGCATTAGGAAAAACAAAGCAGCAGTAAAGGCAAGAGTAAAAATTATGCAAGTGTAATGTTGGTGCAATGATTACAGAAGCAGATGAGTGACGATTGATTCACGCTCATGAGTGTTTTCGTGACGACCCCCAACAACATGGGAAAATTTAACTATTCTGAACGTATTTACTTTTATAGACAGAATAAATTCGCAGCACAGTCTTCTATATTTTTGTAAGAGCAACAATAATAATAAGAGAAAAAATATTAAGTGAATTGTAGGCAGTGACAGTGCGGATTACATCACATAAAGAATAAGGGTAAATGCGATGTAAGAGCGACACGAACAAAAATAGTGTAACGAAGGACAATTTAGAAAGGAC